GTGGGGATCCTCGGTGGGGGTGGGGCCAGCCGGGGTGAGGGGCCACGGTTGTTCTGGTTGTTCCGCCATTTCGGTTGCTGGGCTTTTATTATATAGGTTAGTTCTCATTTGGACACACCAAAGAAGCAGCTAGCTATTCATATTAAGAAAATTAAGCAAGGTTGAAAAATTACAAATGGAATATTGCAAATGAAGAATAAGATTCATTCAGTAGAAAATCTGATGTGATGGGAAATATATTATGTATGCATGTCTAAACTAGTACTCTTGCTTTTATGAATTCAGTTCAGTTGTAGCATTGTGATGAGAACACTAGATTGAAATGAGAATTTCTTCTAGGCTAGAACTTGAGTTCGCTGTATGATCCTGGGCCACTTAAAATTCAGTTTCTTAGGGCCTTAGTGTTCTCAACTAGAAACTAGGGTTAATATGACATGTCATAATACTGATGCAAAAATTAATGAAAATATATTTGCACTTTTTCAAATGCTACATAAATATAATCAGTGCAGTGTAAAAACGTATTAAATCCTATTTTTATAGTACCTTTTCATATTCATATTATAACAATTCTTAACACTGAATGATGAATTACATAAACTACTTCAGATGTGTTTATTTAAAAAGAAACAAATAAAATTACAAATTAAAGTCATGATAGACTCAATAATTCAGAAAAGAAACTAACTCTTAAAATTATTTTCAAAAAGATGGTTGTTAAGGCATGAGATTGCCATCTTCTCAGGTTGTTGGCACCTGAATAAATTTTCCTTTCATCAAAAAAATGAAAATGATTTTCAAATGTTTTTGAAAACAAATTCCATATATATATTATATATTAATATATATTAATTACAAAATAAAGTAGACAATTTTGAAAATTATTAGACTAAACAAAGCAAAATAGGACTATATAAAAGAAAATCAGATGTAGGAATCTTAAAAGATAAAGCGTTTTGTCAAAAAAATGCTCACATTTCCAATTCATTCTGGACAGAAGAAAATTGTATTGCATTGTAATTGTTCTTTCTAGGGACAGATCTCTCAACTTCAGGGTAGGCCGGGGTGTTCAGGATGAAGAGATGATTTTCTGGAAATTTCTGAATGTGAAATGTTATAAGCCATATTCCCCTTTTGAACTGGAAGACCAAAAACAATGCTGTACTAGGAAGAGAGAAGCAAGAGCTCTGTTCTCAATCCTCTTCTTGAATTCTCTCCTCCTTCCAAGCCTCCCTCAACTACATAGACGCCAACAATCCCTACGATTGCTGTCACCCACTTTTTCTGTTTCACTCTGAAAGTAGAGCCCAGGAAGGCTGCTGTCCAGGGAAGGCAGCAACAACTACAGGGTTATTAGGAGAGTAAAAACTTGATTTCTCATCTGCCCTTTTTATTTAATCAGCTTTGCAAAGCAAAATTAAGACTGGTCCTTATTTTCATGAGTAGCTGGAGAAAATCTCAGAGTAAAAATTATAGATGCATTTTTTCCTGGAGGGAGAAAGAAGAGAACCAACACTAAGGGCCTATTATGTACTGGCTCTATGCTGAGCAACTGCACGCAAATCTTTCCATGCTCACAACAGCCCTGAAAGATTTTATTATCTGCATGTTAAAAATGAGGAAACTAAGGCTTCGGGAAATTAAGAGTGCCCACAACAAAGCAGGGGCAGGATCCTGACCCCATGCCTTAACTACATCAGGCTGCTTCCCCACAAAGCCCTCTTAAGGCTCTTACAGAAAAGTTTAGACAATTTACTTTTATATATCTCTCTTTATTGTTGTTCTCACTTCCATTGCTACATGCAAAAGAGTCTATTCCCCTCATTTCAACAAAACAACTAAATCTAAGCAGTATTTATAGGATGGATTTTAGGACTAAAAGTTTCTATTGCATCACATGCTTCTAATTTCCATTGTCATCAACTGCAGGTCAGAATAACAGGCAAATAATGATGAGATACTGATCAATGAAACCATGTAAACAGGGACAATTAGCAGGCAACAAGGTGGCATTTCCCCCCACTAGGGAAAGGATGGGCTTTTCACTAAAGTGATGTTGGGTTAATTTGATAGCTATAGAAAATAAAACTAGTACTTTTCTCTCACCACACATAATAAATTTCAAATAAATTAGATATCAAACAAACAAACAAACAAACAAAAACGAGTGAATTCCTCCATAACTAAGAGGAGTGGGAAATACTTTCCTAACTATGTCTGAAAATCCACATGCAATAAGGGGGAAGGTTAATAAATATGACAGAGTGAAAAATTTTAAGAGCCCTTTTAAATGGCAAAAAGCCCCTCAGAACTGTGTGTAAAAAGCCAAACAACAAAGTGAAAAGATTTGCAATTTATAGCATAAACAAAGGGTTAATATTCCTAATGTATAACAAACTTCCAGAACAAGAAAAAAGCCCATAATCTGATGGTAAAATGAGGAGAGCTTTGGACAGTTCACAAACAAAAATATACATATAGGTTTTAAAGCAAAATCACCTAATAATGCTCAAAATAAGAGAAACAAGTATTTAAACTACTTTTAGGATACTACTTATCACCTATTAAAATAACAAAATTCATAAAAATTGATGCCACTCTATGGGCCAGCCTGTGGGGAAACAAAATTACATGCTTAATTTGTGATGTCACTTCCAAAAATTTGTTCAAGGGACACATTGGCAAAAATATAAAAAAGATTTATTCATTGAGGCAACATCTGAAATAACAAAATAAAAACTAGCCAATTTCCCATGGATAGAGGACTGATGAATAAACACAATGAAGTATTCTGCAGCTCTAAAAAGAAATAAGCAATATATACATCGCTATGGAAGATATTATTAAATGAAAAACAATGTTACAAAATTCTCAAACTATGCTTTTTTATAACTTTAATGGGTATATTTTGGGATAAAACAAGAAATATGCTGATGTCATTAGGAAACAGATTTTCTTTTAGCTTAAGAAAGAAGAGATATATGATAAATAAATGAGGCTAAGTTCAAATCCCATCATCCTGAATTTAAGTTGGAAGTATCAGTATAATACTTGTTTAAAAAAACCACAGTATTGCCTAGCTCAGACCACTAAGAAGCCTAGAAACAAAGGTCAAACCAGTAGCAATGACCATTCTAGTACCTAGATTGTGGTAATTTAAATATCATTTTCCTTTCAACGAATTTAGAGATCCACGGAGAAATAGCTGATGAGGCAGGAAATTCACAGATGAGCTGGAACAGCCTGTTATACTGAAAGCATGGATGCTATCAATATTACTGAAGCCTTATCAAAAAGACTCAGGACCACAGCCAAGCGGCTCCCACTGAACAAAGATGGGAATATTTGAGCATCAGTGACAATAATAACTGCAATGTCTGATTGCTGTTTATCAGACTGTCAATCCCCAGAGGGAAAGTAGGGGAGGGTGGGGGTAAGGGGGAAGAGATCAACCAAAGGACTTGTATGCATGCATATAAGCCAAACCAATGGACACGGACAACAGGGGAATGAGAGTATGAGTGGGGGGGGGGAGGTTGGGGGTTAATGGGGGGATGAGGACACATTTGTAATACCTTAACCAATAAAGAAATTAAAAAAAAATAACTGCAATGGACTGAAGTATTTCAAATGCTAAATTGATGAATCAATAATCATACTGGAAAAAATTAACGTTACTTTTGGTTGATAACCATCTCACTGAAAACTGGAAAATATTAGAAAAGAAACGAGTTTTATCTGGCATTTCCTATGTGAATGACATCTCAGTGTAACCGAATAGTTGCTAAAGAAAACTAAACGAAGGCAGAATGATAAAATTAGAACATCATCATTTCACAATTCTTACTGAAGTAAGACAGCCAGATGTAAGTGCCTGCAGATAGAACTCACCACCACCTATGATGTGATCTTAACCCAAAAGTGAACCTGATCTGATTATGCCGCTATAATCAAAATCTAACTACCAATTCCTAGACAATATAGGAAACAAAGTAATACGTGAAACAAAATCAGGGGAATGTGATCAGCAAAATCCACACTGGAAAATTCTAAAGGA